CAGGGACCAACAAGTACCATATTTTAACGTCTTTTGGTATGATGCGGTCGGGGATCGAACCAGCGACCTTACGCTCTCCGGGCGGAAGCTCTAACCACTACACCACGGAGGCGGTCCCCAACATGTAATAGCCAGGAGATTAGTGGTGCAGTGCACCATTAACTTTGTGGTTTTAAGCTGTAGAAGTTTTGGCATGTAGAAGTTTTGGGAGGACACCCTGGCGATTAGGTGCCTGACTCTGAGGGTGTGAGTTCAAATCCCGGATGGGACTCAACCCTAGAAAAGTGCTAGAATCTTTATGATGGTAAATGAATACATACTTACTTTTATGATGGTAAATGAATACATATTTACCTTTATGATGGTAAATGAAGATATATTTACTTTTATGGTGGCAAATGAATAAATATTTACTTTTACGATGGTCAATGAATACATACTTACTTTTATGACTGACTGACTGACTGAGTTTAATTTTACGCCACTTTTAGCAATATTCCAGCAGTATCACGGCGGGGAAGACCAGAAATGGGCTTAACACATTGTGCCCATGTGGGGAATCGAACCCGGGTTTTCGGCGTGATACTTTTATGATGGTAAATGAATGCATATTTACCTTTATGGTGGTAAATGACGATATAGTTACTTTTATTATGGTAAATGAATACATGTTTACCTTTATGATGGTAAATGAAGATATACTTACTTTTATGGTGGTAAATGAATAAATATTTACTTTTGATGGTATATCTTTTGTGTTTAATAAACATTACAACACTGTTATACAATGAATTACATTGCCACATAATTAACACATTGTTGGTACGTGAAGACATGGGGCTTTGAACGCCGCACAAGCCAAACTGGAAATTAGTTATTAGTAACAACTGCTTAAAGAACCACTAAAGTTTGTTTTTTGTTACTCTTTTAACCATTACATATGAAAGATTTGTGGTTAGTCTTATGCGGAACACCAAATTTATTCTTTAAAAACTTGTGGTTATTTAATACCGAGCGATTAAAAGTTGCCAAAAAGTCGCCTGCTTCCCTCTCGCCCGCCAACGAAACCACAGACAGGTTACGTAACTCTGTCGCCAGAGCACTGCAGTGACGTCATATGAGGAACGATTTTCAGTTAGTTGTATAGAAAATGTGTAGCACGCTCATCATTTTGATGATTTCTCGACATCAACGACGACATGCTGAATCGTTGCTTTGTCGTCAATTGCTCCTAGGGGTCGGGCGATGGTGTCCCCATGCACAGATTTCCACAGGACCCCGCAGTTCGTGCTAAATGGGTTATGTTTGTGAGTGCGAAGCGAGAGTTGTGGAAGCCTGAAACGATATCTTACTTGTGTTCAGATCGCTTCACGGAAGTTAAAGAATCAAAACTACTTACTAGTTGTAGTAAAATATGCATATGATTGATGACCATAAAGATTTTCCATAACACAACTTGTAACATAACGATTTCTTCCTAGGAAGTGAGGTTGTGGTCGAAGTAACAATAATATTGTAAGTAGTATTATATTGACACCCACCTCGCTGCCACGAGAGAAATTGTTATGTTTTACGCTTTGTCATGCAAAATCCTATTGGCCATCAATAAAATACATATTTTACTATCAGTAGAAAGTAGTTTTGATTTTGTAACTCGGTGGAAACAAACCTAAATACCATTTATCCTCAGACTGGCGGATGTTCCCGACAGGGCGCCGCCATTTTTAAAAATAAAAAATCTGTTAGAATTAAGGAGATTATAGTTTGTTTTCATCAAGTTAGAAAATCAAGACTACTTTCTACTCGTAGTTAAATATGTATTGGAATCATAACCAAACGGATTTTGCATGACACAACTTATAACATAACGATTTCTTCCACGGAAGCGAGGTGGGGGTCGAAGTCACAATACTACGCGATAAATTTCTTGCTACATTCCCATGGTTAATGTCCACTCACCAGTATGTAGATACTAGTCAATGTGCGTCTTTATATTTGGTCTTATAATCCTAATTAGTTTATTATCATACTTGTATGCATTTTGAAACTAAATAAAAAGCAGACGATCTGCTGATACTTATAGTGAATTTATAACAGAACTGTAATATCTAGACATTTTATAGTTTGCCAATGTGAATCATAATTCGCACACACACCTAGTGCATGTTGTCTGTCTCATTACACTTCACGGCGAAAACAATGATTCTGTTGAATGCTACGACAAATGAATAAAAACAAAATGCAAATATTAAAATTAAAACAGATTAAAGTTATAGGAACAATATCAGGCCATTACCTTGTTCGAGGAATGTATCCATCAATATCCACAAAACTGTTCCAAATGATGTGTCTTTTAACAGTTTAATATACGAAAAAGTGATAAATCTTTTCAGGTATTGGTGTATAGTCTCATTGGTCACCCAAGATAGCACACCTGGCAGCTAATTGTTTTTCTTTAAAAACAGTAATTTAGTTAGCCAATAATGGGCAATCAATCAATGTATTGCCGGTTAATCCTTTGAAAGAAGGACGTTGTTTTTACGCAGACACCGACACGACAGAGTGTATTCAGTATAGATTAGTAAATCTACGTACATAAACACTACCTTTTGACAATTCCGCTGTGTAAGATAAAAGTAATTAATCAATCAGCGTGTTATCGGTTAATCCTTTGATCGATGTTTATAATGTTGAATATTTACTCCAGACACAAGAAATGCCAAATGGGAACCTTTGTCGGGTAATTTAAGTGTGTTACCACTAATTATACCTGTTATAAATTCATTAACTGACCATCAAGTGAATGATGACAAATAACATGTGTAGGTTTATACCACCTAACACGGGTTACAACAAGGGAGTATTAATTGCTGTATTGCATGTGAAAACTTATGGGCCGACACTGTTTTGAGAATACAAACAGATTTTTACATGACATGATTAAATATCGAGGTAAAAAAACACAGAAATGGGATCAATTTGGATCAGTCATTATACAAATAGGGCCTAACGACACCAATCGATTTTGACAGAATCGTCTATGAAAACAAGTTGTAACTCGGAAACTAGGCAAAGCATGAGACAAAATTAAATGCCAGTAGATTGTGAGAACATATAGCTTTCATTTTCCACAACAATTGTCACGATTTCAGGTTTATACAAGCCTGTAAACAAGATAATTTAACCCCTAAAATGTAGATGAATTCTGCACAGGCCCTCCTAGCTATTCCTCATATGACGTCACAGAGTCGCGCCGCTCTGATTGGTTGAAATTTCGTTCGCGGGTGAGAATTGTGCACTGTTGTCAAAAAGGTCGATTTAAGTCAATTAAAGGTCGAAATGAGTAGTTTTAATGACGGGGTTTCATTTATAATGATGCGAGTTAGTGATTTATGTATTTTTACCCCCTAGGGTTTATGTGACCTTTAAGGCAATGTGCTAATGTAGTTTCATGTTGTATTAAATTATTTATGTACTTTCACAATGCTCGAATGATACCGGAAGTTTATAGACGGAGAAACAGCGTTCGTGTTTTAAATGTTGATTTTGCTGTCTTTGCAAATGGTGGTTCACAATACAGGCCCGCATGTCTTTGCAAGGATTAAAGATTTTTAAAAAATATATAAAAAATTGAGATGACCCCCCGACTCGAAATGCTTCACAGTACAATACAATACATTATAATGTATTGTACTGTGAAGCATTTCGAGTCGGGCGTCATCTCAAATTTTTATTTATTTTTTAAAAATCTTTAATCCTTGCAAAGACATGAGGGGCTGTGGTTAACAATGGTATGTGCACTTGGCATGTCATTCACCCAAACCATGGTAATCTCACTTGAAGGGCGTGGTGGTGCATGTTACCACTCAATAGGCTTAAAAATATATAATCGCTTTTAAACTTGTTGAAACCGAAGATTAAGAACAAGTGTTTGAAACTGCCCACCTGTTAACTTTGGAAAATATTCCTTTTTCCGTTGTAGTGATTATATCGTGAACAAAATCATGGCCCGACACACGTGGTCAAGTATGTTCTGTTATTTCATTTGTTTCCGGCCACGTCATACCAAAAGGCGTTAAAATATGGTACTTGTTGTTCCCTGCCTGGCGCTCGGCATTAATGGGTACAACAAGGACTGGTCGGCTGGGAGTCAGTATAATGTGTCTGAGTAGGGTATTCATGCTTCACTGCGGCATGGTATCTCAGTGGGCTAGCACTATAAAACCGGCTTCAGTATCGGCTAGTACAAGCAGGCGCACATACACACGCATGCATGTCGTCATATGAGCGAAATATTCTTAGGTATGACGTTGAACCCCATTTCACCTAACCTCACCTATCTAATTCCTATGACTCACCTAAATAAGGTTTCAATCATTTATTTAATACTTCCTTAACGTTTACTAAATATGAAACCATTATGAATACTGTCAGAATGATGAATCCATCTCACTGAACTACTGTCTCATACGGCAGGAAACAGCAGGTTTCATCTGCCTGATGCTCGGGATGTGACCTAGCTTTGTTTGCTGGTGTTTGTGTTTTACACAACTGCATATAATGCTGTTATGCGAAAACGTATATAACAAATTGTTTTGTAAATATGCCTTGTATTTTTAAGGATTTGTGTCTTTGCATAAACTTGTTTTCGTCGCTTTGTGGCTGAACGAAATGCAGAGGAGGCGTTTTCTCAAGCTACTCCTTCCATTGAAGATCGGAGTTAGAACTGATCTTCAGAAATCAATGGTTATCGTAAGAGGCGGGTGGTCAGTCACGTTGATTTGGTTGACACATGTCATCGTATCCTAGTTGCGTAGATCGGTGCTCATGCTGTTGATCACTGGATTGTCTGGTCCAGACTTGACTATTTACAGACCGCCGCCATATAGCTGAAATATTGCTGAGTGTGGACTCTGTGGAGTAAACCTAAATTCGCTCACTCACTACTCTGTCCATTGCGGATTACAAAGATCGTATCCGGGTACGATATTCAACAAGGAACTGCAAACTGAAACACACCGCAACGACTTTATCTTGTAGGCCATTGCATCTGAGTCAGCTAGATTAGGTCTTGCTGCCAATTGCCGATATATTTCTTTATATCACTTTGACATTACCGACAATGTCAGTTGAATCCTGTGATGACATCATTCCTGAAGGGCAAGATAATTTGGTAGAAGATAGACATGCTGGGTACGAAACCATTGACGAACTCAAATGTGCTCCTGGCACAGACAACAACGACCCTGGATCTGTTGAGTACCACTACATTGACGACACCAACCCAACCTCTGATCATCAAGCCATTGAAGAAAACCAGTCGGAAGCCAACGACTATGAAGACATTGCTGGAACTAATCCAGCCTATGATTACATTCAAGCAATAAACGAGCCACTTACGGTAAGACGGGAAATTGTACTCTTGTATTGTATTCTTAATGTACAGGTTTCAAAGGGTTCTTTTAGGTTTGAACCTGTGATGTTTTAACTTCAGGTTAGAAGATAAACGATTATTTTTAGGGTTTTATTCAATAAACGCGGACTTTGAGTACAGTGTATACACGAAACCCTGTAAGCAATATAAGATGACTTATGCTTTGTCAGTAAACTCAAATCCATCAAAAGACATCGTAACTATTGAACAAATCCCTAAGGTGATGATAGTGTGTAAAAGAGGCGTTATAACATCACTGACTTAATACAGATATTGAAACTATCTCTAATTTCAGCTAACATCTAAGTGTATGAAGGATGTTGTTTTTCTCGTACCCACATTCGCCAGTGTGACACTGAGTATCATAGCTGGGTTCCTCACGTCCTTAATGTTCCATACTCTGGTCTTACCAAGAAAAATATCCTTGGAAGATGGAAGGATCACTGCTGAAGCAGGAACCACATTTATTGTGTTTTCTTCACTAGCAGGTATATTCAGTGTTTCGACTACCTTAACCATCTCAGCTCAATTCACCATAGTCACCAATATAATACCTGCCTGTTGTTCACCTTTCCACCATGGTCACCAATGTAATACCTGTCTGTTGTTCACCTTTTCATCATGGTCACCAATGTAATACCTGCTTGTTGTTCACCTTCTCACCATGGTCACCAATGTAATACCTGTCTGTTGTTCACCTTTTCATCATGGTCACCAATGTAATACCTGCCTGTTGTTCACCTTCTCACCATGGTCACCAATGTAATACCTGTCTGTTGTTCACCTTTTCACCATAGTCACTAATATAAGATCTGTCTGTTGTTCACCTATTCACAATGGTCACCAATATAATAACCGTCTGTTGTTTTACCTTTTCACCATGGTCACCAATGTAATATCTATCTGTTGTTCACCTTTTCACCATGACCACCAATGTAATTCATATCTATTGTTCACTTTTGTAGTTGTCTGTTGTTCACGTTGTTCACTCCTGACATGCTAATTATGTCTACAAAGACACTACATGTTGTCATATTTGCTCTTAGTCATCAATAGTTGCCCTTCTGTCATGTATTTCAGCTGCTTCCTGTGGGCCGCTCGTGATCAGATTTGGCTTCCGGAAGGTTGCTCTAGCCGGAAGTGTTCTGCTCATCTGTATCTCTCTCTCGTCGTCAGTGACAACCACAGCCGATAACCTATCTATATTATTCGGCATCATGGGAGGTCTGTCAAAATCCTTTAAAGATTGTTGTCTCTATTTAGAGCTGTTTTTAGACACACATTAGATCGCCAAAACAAAAGAAAACTTAATATCAAGGTGATGTTTAGGGCCTAAATTTGAATGAGTATATACCTTACACGTAACGCTGTCATTTGTAATATTTTTGAGAATTGAGTATTTCAAGTGTGAATATTTTTACAGGCATTTGGGCAGTTCTTGCCCACTCACTCAGATGTAGTTAATTGTCAAATTAATACAATATTATGGAATCAGCTGAATCTTTCATTGTAAAATATCCTGTTCGGTGCAATCATTTGGAATTTTTGTCAAACATTCTGGACTTGTCAGCCATTTTGAATTTTTTAAGCTATCGACTACACACAAAGTACATTTATTAATAATTTGTCTGATATTACTTGACCTTGATGAAGTCCTTACACAATGTTTGTCAGGACTTGCTGTGGGTCATCTCCGGACTCTGGGTGTTGTGGCTATCGTCGACCACCTCTTCACTCACCAAACCCTAGCCCTTATTGTCAGCCATACTGGCTTCACCATGGGGAACGTTTGGAGTATTTTCGGACTTAAAAAATATGACTGGCACATCGACAGGAGAGTGTTTGGGATGATTGCTGTAATGGGACTGATCGCCGGTTGTTGTCTTCAGAGGACCTCCCAGGCACAGGAAAATGTGACCATGCTGTTCAAACACCCACTGTTTTATTTCCTCATCTCGATCACACTTGCCGCATCTGTGGGTAGGTTTTCAAATACATCTGTAAACTCAAATCAGGGTGTTCGGGTAAAAAAGATCTTGGAGAGACACCAAACTGATTTCTAGATTAACGTTCCTTTTCTATCCCCACCTGTTCGTCTTTGAGTCAATAACAGGATTCCGCAAATATTGCTGCTTTGGATGTTTAATCTTGACATTTGTCTGGATATTTGTAATCAATGTAACAAATATCAAGGGTTAACGATGGTAAATATACCCAAAGAACTTAATTAAGCACTCCGTGTACGTTTTTCTGGCCCGTATGATCCTTTAAGTTATAAAAAACGAAAAAACCATTGGAATCCATGTTGATTATATGATGATCATTGCTCATTTAAAATAAAAACCAAACACTAATCTTCATACAAAACCATGTCTGTACAAGTATGGCCCTGGAATGTTTATTGGTTTATGTTAACATTCGAAATGTCATTTCGCGTGTCTTACACGATTCAAGGTCAATACCAAGTGTAACCTCTATGTGACTGTATGCCAGCCAGAATTCCCCTCCTCATACTCCTGTGAAGGGGCAGGTTACACCATTCCTCAAGTAAAGCAGCCTCCAATTGTGTGTGCCAGGTTCTGTACAGGAGGAACCCTTTGCTGCTCTCGGCGACCAATCATGTCCCAGATATACCCAAAAGGTGTAGGATCAGGACTCATTCAATCGTGAGATATGGCGGGGGTGCTTAACTAAGTTCTTTGTGTATATACTCTAATTCTTACCAACTATTCGAACGTTATCGGTCCAAAATCTCAGGCCAACTATACACAAATGCACCAGACCCATTTCGTGACAGCATTATATACTTCATAGCTTTGTGGTATAAGCATATACTTATGTTGTTGTATAAACATATACCGGATGATGTTTCTTGTGTGAGATCAAGCATATACTTATGTTGTTGTATAAACATATACGGATGATGTTTCTTATGTGATAACAAGCATATACTTATGTTGTTGTATAAACATATACGGATGATGTTTCTTGTGTGATAACAAGCATATACTTATGTTGTTGTATAAACATATACGGATGATGTTTCTTATGTGATAACAAGCATATACTTATGTTGTTGTATAAACATATACGGATGATGTTTCTTGTGTGATAACAAGCATATACTTATGTTGTTGTATAAACATATATGGATGATGTTTCTTATGTGATAACAAGCATATACTTATGTTGTTGTATTAACATATACGGATGATGTTTCTTATGTGATAACAAGCATATACTTATGTTGTTGTATAAACATATACGGATGATGTTTCTTCTGTGATAACAAGCATATACTTATATGTTGTTGTATAAACATATACGGATGATGTTTCTTATGTGATAACAAGCATATACTTATATGTTGTTGTATAAACATATACGGATGATGTTTCTTATGTGATAACAAGCATATACTTATATGTTGTTGTATAAACATATACGGATGATGTTTCTTATGTGATAACAAGCATATACTTATGTTGTTGTATAAACATATACGGATGATGTTTCTTATGTGATAACAAGCATACACTCATATGTTGTTGTATAAACATATACGGATGATGTTTCTTGTGTGATAACAACACTCATGGTTGCACTTCTGTTTACAGGGTTGTCAATCCTTCAGGCAGAAATCATCATCTTCGATTATTTTGTCTCTATCTACGTCAGTCAGATTCTTGTGCTGGTAGTCCTGTCTATCATCTGGATCTTCCAGAAGAAGAAGCTGAAAGAGTCATATCTTTTCTCGATGGGTATATCGGTCGTAGCTCTCGGTATAGTTGCCATGGTCCACCAGGATGTCTTTTACAGTCGTGCATCTGTAATGGCCTCTTCCTCGTTGCTTGGAGCAGTCATAGGTGAGTAAACTAACGAGTCTGCATCATATAATTTATGCACACACGCTTTATTGTTTAGTTTTAAGGCCCAGTCGTCTTAGGCCCTGTAGTTGTAGTAAGTCGCCTAATAGTGGCTGCAGTGTAATCCAACGGAGATATAGAAAGTTATTTCAAAAGCATACCCAGACTTAACTATCCTCGGTAACAACCGTTTAGTGTGATGGAAAATCAATTACTGTGTGGAGCAGCGTCCCTTAGGAGTGCCAAAGATCTGCTCTCATGGTTACATAATATTAAGGATGTCGCCTTCTGATTGGTATTCTTTTCCAGCGTTCACTAAAGTCATGTTGCCGTTAGCGTTGGTGAACACTACAGGCAGAAAAACCCTGAAACTGTCTCTCCCTCTGCTGGTCTGTCTTGATGAGATGGGACGAGTTATCGGCGGCTCCATCCAGGGTAGGTGTTACTGTAACTGGTGTACTTCAGCTTTATTTTGGTAAACCTGTAAGACTGGCAACGGTGCCACAATGACAGGAGCGAGATGTGTCCAGCACTGCTACAAGACCATCAAACATTACTCACACTTGGAAAGTCATTTTTACATGTACATGTGTAATACGAAATTACTGATATCCTCAATTGTTTTATAGATTTCGGTATTCTGTTGAAGGATATCAATGTTGTCAAGGCACCATTACATATCTGGTGATATCGTTACAATCTGATATTCAAAGTACTATCACTGATATGTTAAAATTGTCATCAAGGACATATTTCGTGACATCTCTAAATTTGTTTTAGATATCATAACAATTACATCATACTAAAGAGTCATGTTACAGATTAAGTCAAGATTTAATTCAATTTCGTTAATCATGATATCATATCCAAAAATACATTGAAAACAGATATAATTGATTCATGTAAGATAGCATCAATTCAATTTGAGATATTTCACCTTTTCTGAGTGTTACTGATATCAAAATCAAAGTACAGATATCACAAAAATTTGGAAGGGATCCTTATATAGATTGTTGAAATCGGAAATGTGGAATCGTTCTGGTTCCCAAGATATCGTCACGGTTACATATCCGTTATTCTTACGGTTCCAAAAATTGCAGCAAATAAAAACATGAACAACTTGTACAGGAACGTGTCAACATAAATTGTCATTGTTAAACAAATACAGTCAAGGACCTGTTGAGAATTGTCAGCACCGCACGCCATGAAGTAGATCTCTATAAATAGGCGGAAGTCAACATATCAACAATGATATCAACAATTCAAGATATCAATAATGGTCAAATATCGGTATTTATTTACAAGATGTCAGGAAATGAATTAACATTGTTTTTTCTGGATTGCTATTTTAACTTTAATGATCGCGAGGGGCGGTGGGGTAGCCTAATGGTTAAAGCGTTGGCTCGTCACGCCGAAGACCCAGGTTCGAATCCCCACATGGGTACAATGTGTGAAGCCCATTTTTGGTGTCCCCCGCCGCGATGCTGCTGGAATATTGCTAAAAGCGGCGTAATACCAAACTCAGTCAGTCAGTTAATGATCCTGAACGAAGTCAAGTGTTTTACACCAACATCACCAACTATGATGGTATCCTGTTGTATTTACACCGACACCATCAACTATGATCGCTGTTTCTAAAGCATTCTGTTGTATTTACACCGACACCATCAACTATGATCTCTGGTATCCTGTTGTATTTACACCAACACCATCAGCTATGATCTCTGGTACCCTGTTGTATTTACACCGACACCATCAAATATGATCGCTGTTTCTTAAGCATTCTGTTGTATTTACACCGACACCATCAACTATGATCGCTGTTTCTTAAGCATTCTGTTGTATTTACACCAACACCATCAACTATGATCTCTGGTATCCTGTTGTATTTCATATTTCAGCAAGTACTTCATCCTCCCCAGTAAATGCTGCCCTGTATTGTGCTGGCGTGTCCCTGATCATTGCCGGAGTTGGGGCCATCACTGCAGCCGCGGTGATAAAACGCTGGCCTTCTCTCAGTGATCAGGCAGAGGCAGAGGACCCTGTCCAGGACCAAGTACAGGAGACAGAGAACCATGTGGAGGACCGTGTACAAGAGGAAGAGGACCGTGTCGAGGACTGTGCACAAGAGGCAGAGGACCGTGTCGGGGACTGTGCACAAGACGCAGAGGACCATGTCGAGGACCGTGCACTAGAGACAGAGGACCGTGCACAAGACGCAGAGGATCGTGTTAGGGACCGTGCACTAGAGACAGAGGACCGTGCACAAGAGGCAGAGAACCGTGTCGGGGACCGTGCACTAGAGATAGAGGACCGTGCACAAGAGGCAGAGGACCATGGCGGGGACCGTGCACTAGAGACAGAGGACCGTGTCGAGGACCGTGCACAAGAGGCAGAGGGACATGTCATGTTCAGTGTGGACGAAGCAGAGACGCCCCTATAAAAGTAAACCAGTCTTTCTCGGGTAGATTGTTAAACGACAGAAATGATTTATAACAGCGTGTCATTATAACAGTATCGGAGATAAGAAATTGGAACAGGTAACCTTGAAAAATGTAATGCGATAATTTCTCCTAACGTTCATTCGCCTGTAATATTTTCTATTTGGGGGTTAATGGCTATGGTTGTACCTAACTTTGAGAGATTGCTCAGTAGTGTCTGAAATGGGTTTGAACTGTAAACACAATAAATATCTGGACCTTTTGTAGTACATCCCTAGAGTATTCTAGATTTTCTAATGTTGTGTAATAATGTACATGTAGTCGAAAGCCGTCACAGCATTTTGTACTGATAAACCACCTTGAATAACTCAACCAACGTCCCTTTGAACCACTTGCTCTCGAAGAGTGAGTGAGTGAGTATGGATTAACGCCGCTTTTAGTAATATTCCAGCAATATCACGTCGGGGGACACCAGAAATGTGCTTCACACATTGTACCCATGTGGGGAATCGAACCCGGGTCCTCGGCGTGACGAGCCAACGCTTTAACTACAAGGCTATCCCCACCGCCCCTGCTCTCGAAGAAATCCTTTTGACACATACTAGTGGGAACTCCGTAATGGCCTTGTACGGTAGACCTTTCTGTATTTGATACGTCATCCTGAATAAAACATCTTTCCTTTTTAACCCATAATTACTATTTTTGTTGTGAAATTTCTTAATATCACATACAATGACAGTTTCTTTATATGGCAAGAAAGAGTTTTTGTGTGTCGTCAAAAAGCAAGGCGATGTTTTACCCACTGAGAAACATTGAAATTAGTCAATCTTACTTTTACCTCGATATCAGTCTTGCATCTTGGAACGAAATTATTTGTATATTAGGCCTACTGTACAAGTTTCTATGGATTTAAACTATATCCACTATTAAATATTAGGGGGTAAGATTCTTGGTAATAAACACTTAATATGCAAAATGTGGGATGGACGATGATTTCACTAAAGGTGACCATACTTGCAGTTGTCGCGATCACTTGGTGTCAGCTCTGATCTTCAGTGATCCATTCATACAATTGCACCTCTTTATTGCCCTAGCTTTACCCTAAATGGAAGCGAAATGGAAAATGTTATAAGGCGGACGTATCATATGCATGCATTTATGTGTGTATCTATGTGTCATTATATGACTTTATGCACTAATTATTGTGCAATAGAAACTCCTTTTCGACATTATCGTATCGTATCGGGGTCTTTTTATTAACATTCAAACGAAATCCTACTCGTTGAAGATCCTAAGATCGCCATTACTGTCAGTTTATATATTGCTTTTCTCTATATTTTAAACAATTTAGTACTGCGCAAATGTGGTTTAAAGTAAAACGCACCGACTCACTACACTGCACAGGGCCGGTTTTAGTCTGTCTCATCTGCAAGAAAACTAACTTACTTTGGGGGTCGGGTTACAAAGTAAACATATCTAACTACCATGGCTGGCCGGACCAACATCCTCACCAGTTGTCCGGAATCTTGCCTCACATTTTCATCTGTCAACTCTTAATTAACAAGCACATTGGGTGATGTGAAGCTATAGTGGAGGCTTTGTGTACAGTTTCTGGTCTTGAAGAGACAAATCAAGCAAAATCTTGGGGAAAGGTTCCTCTTATGATGTAATAAGTATTGTTTCATTGTCTGACTTGGGTCCAAACATAGCAGCCTAATTGTTAATGTGTAATTAAAAAAGGATTATTTTTTTATTCCTGGTATAGGATTATTTTGTGAAACTCTGTTGTGTTTTGAGTATCGCTTTTTATCTAATTGCTCTACAGTAAAACTCTGTGTCAACATATGGCAGGGACCTATTTGTGCACAGGTTCAATCTGATTGATTTGATCAATGTATTACTATCGCTCCTTTGTTCATATGCCAGGATTTGTTTCAGAAACAGAACTTCACGTAACAAACGAAGCAACAGTAACTGTTGTATCCTAACTCGTAGCACTCATGAAGAGTGAGTGAATTTGGTTTTACACCACATTCAGCAATATTCCATGTATGGCAGCGGTCTGTAAGTAATCGAGTCTGGACCAGACAATTCTGTGATCAATAGCATGAGCATCAATCTACGCAATTGGGATACAATGACATGTGTCAAGAAATATCCAGAACATCTTCAAGCATACGACAGACGCTCGTCTTTTCACTTCCATTGAACAGTTTGTTTGAAAAAAGGGGTTTGTCTATATCCTCTTCTCATATTATACAAATGAAAACTTTTGAATTTTGAGATAAAATTCATAAATATTTTTTTGGGTGTTCCAGATAGATCTTGCACCTTGGTCATCTAGTCTTTAAGTGACATTGTGGGCTGCAAGTTTCCAAACTGTAAACTGTTAGACAGTAGGGGGGTTGACTGGCTCACATGAGGTGATGACAGCATAGAGATGGACAGGGCTTAATATCTGATGGTTGTATGATGTGACTTCTAATTGGTAATGAAGCACGTGTAGCCCCAATGCAGATGTTCTTAGTCTCTGAATCTCTGGTCTCCCTGGGGCTCCTTTTCAATTTAAATGGGCTTGTTTGTTACCATCAAAATTATATATATTCAGAGACTAAGCATTAGTCTAGGCCGGTTTGTGTCAGGAGTGCAACGTTACCGCTGCCAAGGGAAGTAACACTATTTCGAACGGAAGTTCAGAGGTCGTGGCCATGGGAACGTTTAAGACACGCTGCATTGTGGGATATGTTGTATACGCCATGTTGGCTGTCACCAAGCCTTGAAAGCGAGATTGTTTATCATCAGGTCGGAGCACGGTAGTTTATTACGTAAGTACGGCAATATTCCGTTACATCGGCGATGAGCTATGATCTGAAATAACTTTATCTGATTTTTAAAATGCATGTAATTTCCTGTAAAAAACATAATACCGTAGAAGACAGCGGCTTTCAATTCGGCCGGTACGACATTTTGATCATCGAAGACTCGGATTTAGTGATTTAGTCGAGCACATGTCAAATATAACAGTTACAGTTGATAGACCGTGTTGTGACTATTGTCTTAAACGGTGAATGTGGGAGTTATTTTAAAGTTCACATGAAACACGAAAAAAAGGTAGATCTGACGCTAAAGGCGAATACATCCACAGGTATGTTAACAGTGGTCATACCCAAGTCAGCGTTTCCCTGCTCAAGCACATTTTAAAACATATTTAAGTACTGAATGATAAACACAGCACAACTAGTGTCTGTCACAGGAAACACAACAACTTCACCAAAGGAACCGTTCATAATTTATGACGGTGTGTGTGTCTGTGTGTGTTTTGCTGGTCATTTTAGGGGGGGGAGGGGGTCACCAATTTATTTTTTACATGACATACAGGTGTATGTGGAGTGGGGTTGGGGGGTGTCACTTACTTCGTACATACATTTTAGGGGAGGTCATTCACACTGAACATGCTTCTCCATAGAAATCAACATCACACACCCACCCGACATATTATATATTACACACTCCTACATGAATACAATGCTATTGAGCAGAGAGAACAAAATAGAATCCTTGGTTTGATTGTTTCCAAAAAGTATCCAATCAGAATTTTGTAATAATTGCAAAGAGAATATGACTGATTTAGGTACACATCAGATCCTTGAAACATTTTGGTTGAGTTGTATAATTCAGTGGGATCCCAGCTCACTCACTTACTGAGATGTTGGTCATGTCTGTTGCCAAAGATATGTCAGCCTTCACTCAATATACAACATATTCAGATGCATGTGTAGACTGCCAAAGGTGAAAGTTCTGTCAAAAACATTGTCAACACACAGTCCTAAATAGTCAAATGCACATAAACCGAAAAATTATGTTGGTTAAATCTGTACAATCCACACATTACGACTCATGTTGTTTGGTCATGTTATGGAATCGGTTCTCTGGTGTGAGGTGTAACCTTGGCCTTGCTTCCAACCCTGATTCTGATGGTTAGGTGAGTGAGTGAGTTTAATTTTACACCACACTCATCAATATTGCAACTATATGGCACCAGTCGGTATATAATCGAGTCTGGACCAGACAATCCAGCGATCAACAGCATGAGCATCAATTACGCAATTGGGATAAAATGACAACTCTAACCCGGATCTTCACGGGTTCTGATGGCTGGGGAAATATCAGAGGTACAGATAAGCTGCTTATCTGCATAGATTACGCAAATAGTTATGTGAAAACTAAATTCCTATTAAGTCTATTGCGTACAAGTACAAGAATCGAGGCCAGATCAAATAACTGAGGTATATTGAGAGATTCTATTTCCACACATGAACTTGGCAACTTGCAGCCTTATTATTGTTTCTCATATTACAGATCAAATACAAATAACAAACACGTAAACCAACATTTAAATTTTATTAGATTTTAAAATGGAAGAATACCCAGTTGAGTTTGAGTGAGGTGGGTACAATTTATTCGGTTACTCAAAGGAAAATTAGGATACCCAATTGAGATGAACACTAGCGAGTACATAACTCAATGACCAAAAAAGTTATCTGTAGCTATGGAAATATGCACTGACTGTTATCTCACTAAACAGATTGTCATCCAATTGCACCAAACTACACCAACATCCTCAACCTTTTTATGAGAACCATGTTTAATGGAGTGAGTGAGTTTAGGTTTACGCCTACTCAGCAATATTCCAATTTCCAGCTATATAGCGGCGGTCTGTAAATAATTGAGTCTGGAACAGACAATCCAGTGATCAACAGCATGAGCATCGATCTGCTCAATTGGGAACCGATGACATGTGTCAACCAAGTCAACGAGGTTGACCACTCGACAAGCATAGTCGCCTTTTGTGGCAAGCATGGGTTGCTGAAGACCTATTCTACCCCGGATTGTTAAATGGACAGTTTGGTAGGAAATCACCATTGGAACATAAACCTTGAAAAGAATAAAGGGACACTTGTACTTTCATGTGTTCCCTTATTCATTTTCATGAGTATATCATGTTAGTGTGAAAAATGGTATATAACTGTTCCATATACCCTCTTGGTTAATACCTGTTCCATATCCTCTCTTGGTTAATAACTGTTCCATATCCACTCTTTTTAATAACTGTTCTGTGTCCTTTCTTGGTGAATAACTATTCTATATCCTTGTTTGATATTAAAGTTAAAGCAGGGTTTTACATGACACATGATTCCTGCATATTTGACGCAACAATTTTGTAAACAACTCTCAAAATATTATCATACGAGTCAAGCTTGACGCAAGTTTTATGGGTGACCCTCACAACTCAGTTCAATAAAATCGATTTGATAAGCAAAAAAATGATATTGTCAGATTGTTCCAGAGAACTCAGAGGAGACAGTAGTTCTGGCTGTTTGAATTGAACAATGCTGTAGTTTCATTTAGTGGTGTGACATACATTTATATACTGAGAATGATTAACACAAAGAAATATTAAACTTTTCATGACTCCCAAATATTGAAAATGACTCCAAAAAATAAATATTGTGAGTCACCATGACTCCCATTTTTAAAAGTCTGTGTAAAACCCTGGTTAAAGTCAATCATTTGTTTGAATACCAGTCCACATCACTGCCAGTTCAATGAATTATCATGGTGTAATAATTCATACAAAAATTCATTAATAATTAATAATGAATTTTTGTATGAAGTATCACTCCATGGTATTGTTT